GGTTTAGATCGCCAACGGCCTCCTGTCTCAGATCCATATATACACACCTGTCTTGGGAAATCCTCAATGTGGCGTCTAAAATAGTAATGTGTCATCAAGATTTGTATCCTCAATTGTATTACTCAAACTTGAGACTTTCTCAAAAACAAGGGGAAAAATGGGAGAAAAGCCTAGAGTATACTGACTAGCGCCTAGACGAAAAGCTTACGAAAAGCTGCTACCATCTGTGCCAAATATATAAGTCGATTTCACAGATCAAGCCTCGCTTCGAGTCTCCCTACGGTCACAGTTTGTCATTTGTCACCCACTATCCGAGACTCCAAGTTCATCCTCAAGCAAGCGAGAGCCATTCGGACAGCGGGACGAGGTGGAGCTTTCCTTCCATTCCACAAAAACCACATAAAACCACATCCATCTGATGGCATCGATCCTTTCATAGGATCCTGACTCATCCATCTGATGGCTTTCCTTCCATTCCGGCATGATCCATCTGAATCCTTTTTCTCCTTCACCGTTGCAGGCGTCGGTCACTCGATCACTTGCCCCATATCGTCGTCTGTCCCGAGGCGCCATTCGTGAGACACAAAGGTCACGCGAGCGTCACGGTGCTCAGGATCATGCCTGGGCGTACTCAGATAGACTACCCCGTGGAAAACTCAGATAGACCCTGCAAAACCACTGGTGCAGCGTTCGAGGAAAACAGTCGGACTCAGGGTCCCATTCGACCCGGGTCCATGTTAGTTCTTGGGAGTGTAAGTGCTTTTTTCGGGACGTGGATGGCGCCTAGGCCGCCTGAAATCGTCCATGAAATCCTGTATACAAACAGGGAGGCTCTGACCCACGTCCAACTGTTGGGTCAGAGTGTACCAGTGTACCAGCTTTTGCGGGAATTGGTGGATGACAAGCTGGAAGAACATGGATTTCGCTCCACCTCCAATTTTCGGTGCACGTGAGAACGTCCCGTCGTCAAACACCGTGAAAGGCCCCACGGCCACGTCGATGATGGTGATTCCGTTGATGTTGGACGAACTTCACGAACGCTTGGGGAGGTTGGATCCAAGGATCTACGAGACTAACATCCTCATGGCAAAGACGATAGTAGTAAGTAGTCGATCGGACTATCATGTCGTCCGTATCATGGTAACAGTGAAGTTGCAAAGGTAAGGGTGCACAAGGTTTTTGGTCAGGTCCATGATTGAACATGTTTGCACCATGTTGATCCCACCATAGCACCTCTCTCTCCTCCTTTCACGGATCCCGGACGTGGTTTCCAGGGGTTTACCCTGGGAGAACCGGTCGCTCATCTCTGGTCCAACTCGTTCGCTAGAGTTCGCTACCTACGTGTCACGTGGGGTCTCGCCATGTCGCGCCAGCGGATTCCTCTTCGCCGCTTCGCCCATCGTCGAACGTCAGACCCGACGGATTCCGACGACGACGTCGGAGGGGGACTCGGAGACGCGAAGAAGGGGGTCGACTGGCCAAGGGGCAGCTCCAAGAGCCCGGCAGCCTGAAGCTCCTGGCGCGACCCCAAAACACGGCGCCATGCTGCAAGACAACTGGTTTGAGGTCCTCATGAGGTCCTCACATCCTCAACATACACTCCCCGAGTTCGAAGCATTTGTCTATTCCACGGATGCCCCCGGGCCCCCCCCGGGCGCTCGGAGGAACCGAACTTCGAGGCCCAAAGGGGTGGTTTATCTCCACCGTAGCGATGAGTTCAGGGAGTGTATGAAGTCTAGCTTCCCTGACAGGGTCGGAATAGGAACCTCCTGGGTGCCAGATACAGAAGGTATCCTTCCGAACGAACTAGCCCGGTGTTTCACCGCACGGGAAACGGGGGGGGTCCAGGAGTCTCTGGGCCGTATCAGTGGGGCTTTCCAATTCTTGTTGGACACCATCGCCAATACAAACATCAAGCCCTGACAATATTTTTTATATGTTTACCCAAACACCTGAACTGGAGATGCAACCCCATGAACTTCCTTCACTCCCTTCACTGGTCTCTTTGTGAAGAACCTCCCCTATGTCTGTGGAAGACGTGCCGGTGATCATATCCCTCGCTGGGTCCTCCTCAGAAGCACTTCTTCCCCTTCCCGCCCAGCCGAAAAACAGTCCAGCGGAAAGCGGGCCCTTTTGTGCCTGATGTGGTTTGAAGGAATCAAGCTGAAGCAAGTTCTCAGCACTGATCCTGGGCAACAAACAGCTGCTCATCTGGATAGAACTCAAACATGGCACACCTATGGGCACCCCCCCAACCTCATTTCTGAATGAAGAATAAGAAGCGGCACGAGAAAGCCCAAAAGTCTCCCAAAGCCTGCCATGGGCCATGGTGATTGTTTCATGTAGGCCTATATAAGTCTCGTATCTGTTTCACCGTGGTTCATTCCTCCTCCAACGCTGCCGTTGGTGTTGCTCCACGGCGTGTTGCTCCTCCCCTGCCCCGCTGCCCGCTCCAAGGCTCACCCACATGGGAAAGTGCCGCGAGGTCTTGGAGAGACACCGTGAGGCAACGGAGAAACTGGGCTGTGGCATCAAACACTTCCTCAGTCGAGCTGTGGCCACAAGGTGCCACACATGATTGAGTAACATCGTAACTGATGATACGGATGCTCCAGGAGAGTCAGGAGAGCTGTCCACATGCTCGAATGCGGTCTGGGGCCTTGAAAGAACAACCCTGTACAAATTCCAGGCTAGGACTACCTCCTATCAAGATGGGTTTCTTATGTTTTGTTAGGTCCCCAAACACATCGCGATCCGAGAAGGTCGCGATCCGAGCTTCCCCTTGTTGGACCCCCTTGTGCAGATCGGCATGGCGTGGGAGACCGATGCGACGCGACGCGACGGAGGTGGAGCGGACGGAGGTGGAGCGGAGCCAGCGGAGCCAGCGGGGAGCCAGGAGCGGGAGGTAGAATCGGTAGAAGCTGGGATGATACACATCCTTTATAATATGATAATATGCATCGAGTTTTGAACTTTTTAAATACACATGATGAGGCGTGATGATGATGCATTCAAGTTTGCGTGAACAAGTTTGCGTCACTCTCCGGCTGCGTTCTAGATGCTGAGATATTGGGCTGAGATATTGGTGGAGAACGTCTTCTCACTTGGAGGATTTGGGGCTCTTTCTGCTCGCAGATTCTCAAAACTCATTGAATCTTACACATACACTGAGCTTCAAGTGCCATGTTTGCCCCGACGTCTTGAGCCAGTTGTGCCAGTCAGCCGACGAAGACGAATCAAGTGTCCTCGTGATGGCTTCTCAGCTAGGGAGGTAGACCTGAGTGACTGAATCGGGTGGGGCACCCCGAATTTGTGACAAGAGACAACCATGAGCACGTAGACAAGAAGAAAGAGCTGGTGCGAAACTACTCGGTGACAAATCCACTTCATTGAGATCTCGCTTCTTCAAAGAATTGGAGCTGATCTTTGGGATGCACCATAAAGACTCGTCTACCGCACAGGATCTCTTCTTCTCCCCGTTTCAGGCATAGTGGTTCACAGAACAGCAAAAGCACTGAGAATCTCGCATGCTGAGCAGGTCTGCACTGCCAAACATGGTTTTTTCTCAGCATCCACGGAATCCATCCAAAAAGCCGCGCAGCCTCGGAATCCAGCCTCTTCTTGAACCCTCACCATGGACCTGTTCCCAAAGATCTTCTCAAAATCCTTCCAACCATGGTTCACCAGGCCTGTTCGGCCTCCACCAGGGAAAGCTGGCCACGGGTGGCCAGGGCGAAGTGGGCGTAGGCCTCGCCGTGCTGTTTGTTTGACCCACCGCTTCAAGAGGCGCCGGAACACCGGTGTGCAGTGAAGAGTTCCACTGAGAAAACACATGGGGCTGCGGTGAAAACACTGGATCAAACTGGTGAAAGCCTCGAGAATTGGCCACTTTTTCACCCAGGCCCATGGTGTCCCCGTCAGGTGTCGAGTCCAGTCCACGACGAACATGCGAAGGCTCGACGCTGGAAGAAGCGGCCTAGCCTTGGATGGTGCCACATCACGGCCATTTCCAAGGCCTTCTTGGAAGTTCTTGGAAGTTCTTCCTAAATGCAACTTTGGGGGACAGGTACCAAGAGCAAAGACATGGAACACGTGAAGAGTTGAAAGGTTGAAGGAGCATATGGACAATGATTATGGACATATTTGGACCTCTTGTGCTTCTTGCACAGGTCTCAAGTTAAATCGAAAGCCGTGGAAAAGCAACAAAGTATATAAAACATAGGATTCAGACCTACTTGGATCCTTTTGAATTATTCTTCTGTAACCCCGTGCATGACCCTCTGCTTCAAGGCATTCTCTTTCCTCGTCGACGAGATATGTCCGAAGTGTCGGCAAACCTTTGCTCTTTGCCGTATGCCCGGTAGTTCCCGGTGGCTGCAGGGAAGATTGGAGCCGGAGGACCTCACAGTGCGGTGCCTTTGCGAAAAAAAACTTCGCGTTGCCGGTTGTCCTGCTCCAAATGCCTCTCCCTGTGAGTAATGCTGCATTTCTAGCAGACCATCTAGCAGAGGCTCTTCTGAACAAGCCACCAAATGTACAAGGACCCAATTCATAAACCTGGTCCTTGATGGCCTTCCAGATTTCTGCTTTTTTGGCAAATGGTTGTGCAAGCATGAGAAGTTCCAACATCTCCTGAAATCATCTTTGAATGCCCTGGCCCAACTTGTCTAAAACTTCCTATCTGGAACTGACATGGGAGAAACTTCAAAGCTGCGAGTTCTTCTCATCTTGGACATCCACCGTGGGCGCGCAAGCTCTTCAAGCTGGATGCCCATGGGCCAACATGCAACCAATTCAACCTGAAGACTCGTGCTCCCGGGCACTGCCAGGCCTGGCCTGGCCTTGGGGCCCCAAAAAGGTTCTTTTGTTTGTCTGAGTGAGGCAAAACGACCACCACAAGAATCTGTCCTTCATCTTTTCTTCATCCCAAATACCCAAACAGCCCTGGGCCCCATTGATGCCGTGCATGGCGAACACTGCCTCCACGCCCTCACTCCTCTTCAGGCGACGTGTTCCGGGTCCTCCAGGTCGAGGGTGGACGGTCGGTGGGGGAGCACATCATGTTTGAATCCTGAGACAAAACGTATGGTATTTTGATGGAAAATGATGGAAAATGATCCCTACGGGATCCTTGGAACTTTGTTTTTAAAGTCTGGCAGAGAGCCAAGGGCTTCGGGTGAATCTCAGGTGACACAAGAATGCCACAGTCGTGGCCATATTCACTTCCCTTGACTGTTGCATTGCTAGGGTCCTCTACCCCACTCTTGGTTGCTGCAACCCTGCTCCTGCTTGGGCACTTCCTTCAACATCTCTGCACGCCGTCGATCTCGGGGGTAGGTGCCTCCCAAGGACATGCTTTTCCGAAGAGGTCAAGCCAGAACGCTCCATCATGCTTGACCCTCTTGAACCCAAAAAACTCACCTCTGGCCACCAACGGTCACCACAGGTTTTAAGATGTGTCAAGAACGCCCACAGATACACCAGTTAGAACAAGATAGTTCAACTGCCTTGGTGCCAGGCAGCTGCTTGAATCTAAAGACGAGGCATACATGCAGAGAACATCTCAACATGAAAAGGACAAATTCGAGCAGCTCCACCAAAACATGGCCGTGACTGGTTACCATTAGTCATTAGTCATTATAGTCATCTCCATTTATTGCTTTGGAATGTTTGAGGGCTGCTCTGTGCGAAACATCCAGAGGACGTGAGTGAGGAGCCGTGAGGAGGTCTTTTGTTTGATCGTGATGCCAATGTGTCTTGCTGAAAAAGACAAATGAGCAAAACGGAAGTCTGGGAAAAAAAACGACGCTGCAACCAAAAAGACTTCGATCTTGTTGGTGGAACCCTTCCTCAAGGATATCTTCACAACAAAAAGGTTGAACGAGCAGTGTCATCTTCCTCCAAGGCACAATGAGCGACGCAGTAGAACAGGAAGCAAATGCCGAAGCCCACTGCTGCCACACTAAAGACACCTTCCGCTTTGTCGCTTCGCGCACGCTCCGCGCATGCATGGCCCTGCATGGCGTCATCCATGCGTTGACTCTCTCTGTTCACCCCCCCCCAGGCCCCGCCGAACCGCTTCGGCGTCGGGTCCGAGGACCGGGGCCTTTGCCCAGAGACAAAGCGTCCGATGGGGAGCAGTGCTTTGAGTTGGCCATCTCAGCATCAAAGTGGAAGATCCGGTCCTGGGTCGCGAGACGTGTCCGAGAAGATGCACATCTTCACATCTTCACATCATGGTGCGAGAAGAACATCCAGTTTGAAGTGGCCTGGTGTTTTCTTTCGTGTGTGCGGGCGCGCCTTCAAGGTGGGCCCCCCCTCTCCGTATCTGAGGCCGTCATCCATCGACAGGGCGACAATGGATGACACTATGACCAAGCTTCTTCCCTTCTTCACAAGTGGTTTGATTCGCTTCATTGAGTGCCATAGCAATCCCATAGTTCTCCATTCATCACATCGCGCCTTGTTCATTCTTTTTCCAAGTACTGCCGTTGCCATCCACTGCCAACTGCATCCAGCGCAAAAATGGCCAACCCATTCCAACCCCTTCCTCGTTCATCCAAAAAAGACATGCCCTAACTAACCTAACTCCGGTTTCGCCAAACACCACGCCCCGGTCTCGAACCGCGCTCCCCCGGTGTCTCCCAAAAAGCCCCCCGGTCCGGGTCCGACGGACCCCGATCGCAAACGAGGTGCGGTGAGCCAGCCCACGGCCGGCTGTCCAAAGGCGCCGAAGGTTCCCTCGATGCAACGGTCCAAGGCGTAGATGTAGGTGTAGCGTTCCTGGTACGGCCGCTGAAGCCAAAGCAAGTCCAGAAACCAGTTCACATACCGCTGTAGGGACCCGGCCCCCGGTTTTGGGCTGTTTTCAGGGACCCGGACCCCCGCCTGTTTTCCGGCCCAACAAGAAAAAGAGCGGTGCGCGGTAGGTTTGGTGGCTGGAGTTTCGGGACCAAGTCGTGGGTCATAAGACACCATGAAAAGCCAGGAGTTTGGGAGCATCTGCAGGTTTTAGATGTTTTTGGCAGATTTGTTCGAAGGGATTTGAGAATTTTCTCCTTGGGATGCAACCACATTCGAATCGGGCTAAGAATGCTCATCGGACACTTTGGTCATCCTGCAGAGGACAAACCTGGGAGAGGACAAACAACTGGCCTGGTGGACCTGTCAGACTGGCGGCTTTTCTGAAGGCTTTTCGATGATCTTGAGGAACCAAAACACTCCACAGGGCCACCGGAGCCAGGGGTGGTGTATGGACATCCCTTCACCCCTAAGGAGCTATAATGGGACACCTGTTAGGAGGCCCTGGTATGGATTTGGGGGTACCAGACAACTCTTCTTCCACTCTTCTTCCTCCGGGTCCCCACATCTCGCCACGTCGATCCGAACGTTGAAAGTCTCGCTGTCGTCGAGCCACTCTGGGCACCACGTCACTGAACATCTTGTTGTTCATGACCTCGGTGGTCCAAAACGACCACCACCCGTCTTGGACCCGCCAGGCTGTTTCTTCGGTGGGTTCGGTCTGGAGACTGGACCGATGTGGACCGCCTGTGGACCCATCGGGCCGACAGGAGAAAGGGCCAGGTCGAAGGGCCCAGGGAAGCTTGGTACAGAAGGTAGGGAGAGTGGGCATCACCAGGAACCGGTGGAACATCGCTCCTCCCATCCCCTCCCAGGCATCCAGGCGATTGGCCTCATGCGCCAAGAAACCATGTTCCAAGCGATCAACATGCCCGTCACCATGAAGACACTGCAGTAGAGGGCGATCGTTCCCGCATCCGAGTCCCCATGGCCTGGACCGGAGTGCAGCGATTTCGGGGATCGACGCCTCTCACGCCGTCCCCGGACAAGGTCGGACAAGGTCGGTGTGTCGGAGAGGGTTGGTTTTTGGCACCACGGCTACGGCTCCATGGATGGCAATTTAAGTTGTAGTATAGAAGTGTATACAGTAGATGTACCTCTACTATCTGTGCTCTGGGTGGCAACTGTTCGACCGGAAGCATTGACCTCCATATGGGAAGGATCAACTATCCAAAGTATGGCCTTTTCCTACCAAAAAGGATGAACAAATGGGTTCTAGGATGTTCTAGGCAAGCATATGCAATGTATACTTCATATTCCTGAATACCCCCGCCACGCCCAAGTTGCCAAGTAGCCCAGGCCAAAAAGGATGAGCGCAAAGAGTGGAATGGACAGGAAGACGGAGACCTGGTCCGGTGTCCAGAAGAACCGAAGAAAGCGAAAATCACAGGGCCTACGTCAGAAGGGGCCTTCGGACTGAATCCTCCAAGTTGAACCACTACAACCACTGCCACTTCCACTACGACTGCGACTGCGAGTGCGAGTGCTACTGCCACTGCGACTGCGACTGCTACTGCTACTGCTACTCCTACTCCTACTCCTACTCCTACTCCTACTCCTACTACTACTACTACTACTACTACTACTACTACGACTACGACTACGACTACGACTACGACTACGACTACGACTACGACTACGACAACTACAAGTACCCACTCCAGAACAAACGGTTTCAGGTGAACCACATTTTTGTCGGAGTGGGGACGTGGCAAGAAACTCTGCGGAAGTGTGTGATGTCAAGCATGGATTCATGGTTCTTGCATTTATGATCCTTTTATGTCCTGTTGATGATTTTCTCCATTTGAGACTTGCTGATGGGCCGATCCCGTTGCTGAAGCGGAACACCTTCCGCTGTTCATTCGTTTCCGCAATCTTAAGACGACCAATGGTGCGGGCGGGTCAGCTTCCCTTTCGTCTCGCACCTGCGAGATGCCGGGAGGGCCATGATCTGGAAATCGTCGGAAGATGAAATCCAGCAAAATGCCACCCAGCATACCTGGGCTCGTCAGATGGCTTTCTGAGGTGGACCACAATGTGTTGGACCACATCTTGTAAAACAAAGAAACACAAACCATCACATGCCCCCCCGCTGCTAACTAGTCTTTGAGATTCAGGCATCTTCTCTGCAAGTCTTCAAGTTTCAAGTGGAGCGCTGCCGGTTGAAGACAACTCGCCCCCCCACTTTGTACCATGCTCAAATCCAGTGAACTGAACAGGCTCAATTAAACAAAGCTTTGACGACGTACCTGACACTTCCGTGACATATATTGAACATAGTGAACGTTATACAATATAACATATAACTTAATTATAGTCTATTATATATATCAAATATAGTTTAACTTAATTTAATATACTATAATATAGTATAATGTAATAATATAAATACATAGATACATACATGTATAATTGGGACACAACTCACACTTTTAAAGGACACGGAAGTCATCGTTGAGCCCCTCCAGCGATCACTTGTCAGACTTTCTCAGGTCCTGTGACATATATTTGATGAAATTGACCCTCGCAAACATCTCTGAATTCAGGTGATCCGGCACTGGACGATCAGCGAAGCTTCCTCACTCCACTGCCAACTCAGCGTTGGTAGAAAACGGGGATCCCCGTGTACCCCCCTAAACAGGAGAGCTTCCTCACATGATGACAGGTACAGTATATCGTTCTATCTCGTTCTATCTATTTCGTGCACATGCGAGAAATGAACGACCTCCACGCCCCCCTTGATCCCCAGTGAATCCGTTGATCCCCATCCCCCATCCGTTCCATCCGTTCCTCCGTTCCGCAGTTCAAAGGTGCTGGACAAGGCGGTCCCCACGTTGAAGAAGGCCAGGATGGTCGCCGCCTCTGTGTTGGCAAAGCAGTTCAGCTCCTGTCGCGGACACGTTGCGAGAACGGCGCGCAACGTGTACCGGCTCGCAACGTGTACGGCACCAGCTGAAATTCTGTGGTAGGCCTTAAGTTTAAAGGGACTAAGCTGGCTAGGCAAGACGCAGGAACTCCAACCGGCTGGCTCGAAGTGATCTGACGTGGGTTGGGACGAAGCGTGCGACGAAACACTTAGTGAAGGCCCTGCCTTCTCCCACCATCATCACCATTCCTTCCGAGCTCCCCCCACGCACACAAGCGCACTGGGCGCCCATGCCAGCCACATGGTGAGGTAGCTGAAGGCGAACCAAGGAGCGGTGCCAAAAATGCCTGAGAACAACATAGAACAACTAAGACCCTTTGGAATCATTGGATTGCTATTTCATTCACCTGAAAAGCGGTGAACATTCTTCCCCTCATAGCCTCAAAGCATAGAACATGGGTCGGATTTTTTTCGCACATGGCTACCCTGGCAGTTGGGTCATGGTCTTAGACTTAGATGTCTATAGTCTATAGGAGATTATAGGATATTATAGGAGTCTATAACTCCGTAGCCCTTTTGCAGAAGTCCTCTCTGTCTCTCGCCCTGGCAGATTCAGTCCCGGCTGCCCTGGCCGATGATGACCAGGAAGGTGGGCAGGCACAGAATCGACCCGAGCCTGCGGCACAAACCGACCAACCAAACCGGCACCACCTTCCCAGGGAGAATGATCATGTCAACCCACCGTTTCTCAGCTGATCCCCCAACATCAAGATTCACGGATGGAATCTTTGTTGCGATGACTCGGCAATGACACTCGACCGTCGACCAGCGTTGCTGGATGTTCTTCGACTTCACCTGGTCAGACCTGCTGGCCATATACCTGCCACATACCTCCCTTCCTCAGCTTCTCTCCCCAAAAGAATGGCCATCACACGGCACACAGATCTGAACACCATTTTTGGATCAAAGCTCGCGTTTCCCTGGTCGCCGCCCTGGTAGACTTGCGCTCTGTAGGAGGGTCAAATGGGTCTTTTCTATCTTTTCTTGCATTCTCCCCATATAACTCAGCTCTAATCGCTTTGTCACCATTGGAAGGCCCCGCCGCATAGGCTGCGGAATCCAGCAAACTGCCACCCTCTGGGCGGCAGCGCTCGCTCGCGCGCGGCTCGCGCGCCTGGGCGTCTCTTCCTTGACGATCTGCAGCATGCTGCGCTGCTCGGCGCGCGGCACGTCGGTGACCAGGCACCAGACCAGCAGACCCACCAGCACGCTCAAACTGGCGATGATTGTCCTGAGGTCAGTGCGCTGGCTGTGGGGGTGGCTGCAGGTGGGCGATTTTCATGAGAGATGTGGGATGTGGGAGTTGGGCCAAATCATGCTGGAGTGGGAGGGGAGGAGCTCACACACCTGCTGTGACACTCGAAGGCAAAACCCAGGATGTATCTCCCAAAATTCGCAAACGAACCTTGAAGCCCTGCGTCCATCCACCCAACAAATCCGCAGCCCCTTCCAAGTTGCAGTGCAAACTGCCAGCCAGCAATGGCTCCGATCTGCAGTGGTGCGATGGAGGTGGCAAAGGCTGTGAAGGCTGTCTGCCCCAAGCTTCCCGTGGAGAGCAGGAAGCCGAAGGCCTGTCCGGTCCGCACTACACGGAGGCGTGGCGCCGTAGGTGTGACGTCGGTGCGGAGACCCACGAGTTCCTCCAAGTTGCACGAGACCCACGATCTGTGATGGTTCAAATCCACAGTTCAATGTTCTAAGAACTGAACACAACTAATTCATACGAATTCGATATGAGTTAGAGTTGTATGGCGTTGTTGGTGATTTGAGGTGCACACAACCCGAGTTCCTCCGCCCTCTCAAACTTTACGCCTTCCCACGGCCGTAGACGGAGCTTTTGTCCGCCACCAAGCTGAAGAGCAGCGGCTGAACGATGCCCAAACCCACACCGTTCAGCGCACGGAAACCCGTCATCCAGGCAATGTCCTCTCGGATTCGGCGGTTGTGTGGTGGGTTGCGTGGTTGGTACGGCAAGAAAGGAGCAAAGCAGCAAACAAAAAATACGTCTCTTTGCAGAGGAATCCTGCACCAGGAAAGAGATCCTGAAGATTGGAACTACTTGGTTTTGAGCACCTCGTGACTCAGCGAAGTGGCGATTGCGTTAAAAACCCTCAGGTTTCACACCTCAAACAGTGCAAGGTGCCACACCCGGAAGTTTAGAGTGAGTCATGTCTTGAACTCCCTATCTTCCTTAGGCAAACCAATGAATGCTTTCCCTCGTTAAACCCACAATAGTCTTAAACATTTTTGAACCTCCAAACCCAATCAAAACGGTGAATGAACACATCTTCGCAAACACAAATAAATGAACACCTATCATGGGAGACGCATCCATACGATCGATTAAACACCATCCCTCCCAGTCATCGCCACCGCCACCCCTTCCCCAGATCGCCGTCCGGAGCAAAAGCGCAGCCGATGAGTCCGGCGCCCCAAATCGCCGAGCCAATGCAAATGAGCCTCGTGCGCCGGGCGGTGGCATCCGGGCGGTTCCGTTCACTTGGCCCTTGGCCCATCCCTCCACTGCTCTATCAGTCTCTCGCTCTCCCTTTTTCTTGGCCAAGGAACAACGGTCGTGGGAGCCGGTCGGCCAGGAAACCACTGGGCAAGGCAAAGATGGACTCAAAGACCCCACGCACCAGGCCCAAACCTCCCAGGCCACCTGCCCCGATGTCCGAATGTGAGGTATGCAGTGCGAGAAGCACGAGGAACAGTGCTGTGGAGTGGTGAGGTGAATAGATGATTAGGTTTGGTTGTTTGAAGCTGGCGTAATGTCCATCCGCTTCGGGAAGTTTTAAGGTTTCTTGAAACCCACAAGTTAAGTCAGGTGAAAAACCGAGAATCAGCACAAAACCTCACAATACATATTGTTCTATTTTCTACCCTCATAGCCCATAAATAGTGGAAGGGGAAACGTGTCGCCTGGAGAGGCAATCTTTTAACAAAAAAAATTGTTTTTGCCTTTTTGCGCATTCAAGACGACAAAGTGACATTTTGGTGCTTGCGCGAGGGAAAAGAGTTTTTCAGAAAGAGGGGATGCGGCCACGGTGTCCCACGGCGCGGGCCCGAAGCCCCGGCAATTGCTTGAAGAAGGGTGACCCCCCGGCATAACTATTGCGCAAAATTGAGGCGACGCCAAGAAGCAACGTTCTACAGCGAGTAGTTGCCCCTATCCTCCATTCGGTTTCTTCCTTACGACCGAAAGGGTAAAGGTAAAGGTGAAGGTAAAAGGTAACTTTAAAAGGTAAAAGGTAAAGGTAAAAAGGTAAAAGGCAAAAAGTAAAAAGTAAAGGTAAAAGGTGAAAGGTAGAGGTTCAGGTGAAAAGGTAAAAGGTATAAGGTAAAGATAAAAATAAGGTAAGGTAAGGTAGTAAGTAAGTAAGTCAGTAAGTCAATCAGTAAAGTAAGTAAAGTAAGATAAGAGGTAAGTAGGTAAGTAGGTAAGGAGGTAAGTAGGTAGGTAGGTAAGTAAGTAAGCAAGTAAGTAAGTAAGTAGTTAATCAAGTAAGTAAGTATGTATGTAATTATATAAGTAGGTCAGTCAGTCAATCAGTCAGTAGTCAGTCAGTAAATATGTATGTCATCTGATAGCTACTAAGTAGGCCGCTATTGGGCTTGCAAGCAGTTTCTGTTCAGGATTGCATGATTGATGTTTTTCCTACATGCTTGGGGACGCTTTGCAACTTACTTGTTGGCTCGCCTCTTACGGTCAATGACCTCAATTGACAATAAGCTCCTGTCAATACTTCTTTGGATCTCCGGGCTCGAGCATTGACTCCAAAAAGGGAATTGTCAAAGGTTTCAGTTATTCATTCGCCAGCAATACAACACTCCAGACTGCCAAGCCCAAGGAAAGCACAAGGAATAAGGGCAGCAATTGGCTTGGAATAGGTGGTGCGATGCTAGGTGACTTTATGATGCACAAGTAGCGGACTACCAGGCTTCTCAAATGGAAGCGCCAGCTTCACAGCCAAAGGGCCCCACTCTTCCGAGTGCACATCGAACAAGTCGATCGGCCTGTCCGAAGTGCCCTCTTCTCCAAACTGTCGGCGCCGCTGGCTTCGCCCGCGCCCGCGGAGAGTCGAACCTCCTGCATCTGCATGGGCACCCAGACGGCGCCAAGGCTCCACTGCTTGCGGAGGCTCAAGGCAATGTTCAAACTTTTGAGGACTTGCCAACCACCTTCAGTCGGAACTTGTATTCGGGCAATCATTTCCAGCGTGAGCACAGTCGCTCAATTTGGCGTTCTACAAAAAGGCACCGGACTCCATGGGAGCCGGGCTGCTATAAGCGGCATATCGGCCGCCGCGCATACCAACCCTCGGACCGGCAAGGTTCACACTTCCAGGCTGTAGTCTTGAAAGCTGGTTAACGATTCGACGGGGACAGGCGCGCCCTGTACAAGAAGGTCCCGGACTTCTTTAGTCGGCCACGTCCACATCGGCCCCCGTACTCCGCAAACCCCGGGGCGTTTGTAGCGCACATGATCACATTGTCTTTGATCTCTCCAGCTGGATTCAAAGCATCTGCCAAACATGACGCAAAGTGAGAAAAAGGAGGATGGAGATGGAGGAGCTGCAAAGGACGACCTCGATGCCTGGGGATGTGCAGTGGCTTGGGTACATTCAAATCAATCGTCAAGCGAAAGCTCCGCGCTCAAGTAAATGCTCAACAAATGCTCTGGCACACCCATGCAAAACCTGAAAAATTGTCCATCAATTTATGAGGTTTCGCAAGTAGGGCTGCACGCCGTAAGCTAATTAAAATAGGCCATTTTTACGCAAAACAGTTTATGCATTTGCTAACCTATTTTGCTTACTAAGTGCCAGAATAACTGCTTAAAATGCTCGAACCGTAACATCACTACTTTCGAAGACTGAGGGAGACAAGGTCCCTGACATTGCGCGACGCTGCGAATTTAAGCACGAAGCACACTCAACTTTCTAGCGCGACCCTCATCTCATGACAGGTTTCAACTTGCACAGGTGTTCTCAGCTATGCCGGGTCTTGTAAGAATCAGGCAGATGAGGGAAAGGGTCTCGGACATTGCGCGACGCTGAACACGCTGAACACGCTGACTATTATTGAATATTCTTCAACACATCTCATGTTTGGCTGCACGCGTGGCTGCGCTGACCATGCAATCAGCACTCCAAGGATCACAAAGTGCTGCACCTGCACCGAAATCTGCACTTCGAGGTTCACATCGCGCAGCCCTGCCTTTCGCAGCAGCACACGTTCAAAGACAAGTTGGGGATGCAGCCTTCACTGAACACATGCTGCATGTCCAAAGTTCACAATTCACTGCACCTGCCACAAATCAGAGCAAAACAGATCCGATCTCCTGCACCTGCGAGGAATAGTTGACTGCAAACAACCAGACCACGAGGATTCCCTTGTGCCTGCTAGGGACAGTGACCACCTAAGCCCGACTGAAGAACAGGCAAGCATGCCGTCGCGTTTGCATTCCAAAAAGCACTTCGTGCGACTGCTTGGATTTCTTGAAGCCTCTGTACCAAAATTGTTGCGATTTTCTTGTGAGCAAGCTGTTCATCCAGGCTTCCGATTTTCTTGAAACACGGTCCTGCATCCACGCGGTGACACGGGACCTTGATTACAGCCCACGTCACAGGATTCTTCTGAGTTCGGGGCTCTTGACAGCCACAATTCAGAATCTCAAAATGGAACAACGGTAAAAACACAGATTTGGCCTGCCCGAAAAAGAACAGTTTTTCTCTATGAAACCTGTACTTTGACATGGATGGCAACATTAATGTATACGTCATCATGTTACTGATATTACGCCAGTCATGCTTCTATGTTGTTGCAGTTTGGATTCCATGTGCAGTTCACCAACAACACACAAGTAAAAAAACGCTGACATGTACACAAATTCACTATTAACCCTAATTACTTTACAACTCTCTTTGCATGTCGTTCTCAAAAGCAAGTCTACTTGCATGGTATTTTTAGATATATAGTGTAGTAATATACTATATACAATATTTTACATACCCTAATATGCTGCTTCTTTGGATGGTTCCAAAAACACTTTCACACACCCTACCCATTAAAAGCATTAAAAAATATCAAAATAATGTTATTGCATTGATCTGCTTTGTCGTGCCTTCCATTGCATGTTTTTGCATCATAGCTGATTAAATGCACTTACCGTGTTTTGCATTGTATTTACATTGGTCATATTGCATATCAATTGATGGCATCTCTGATCTCTGGGAATACACAAACTCCAAGACTCGTTGATCTCGCTGTCTTTGCCTCTTGGTGGGTCCATAGCCTAGGGAGGAGTCCTCAAATCACTCGATTCCAGCTTAATAGCTCGCCCCAAATTCACGCCTCTTTCCGAACCTGTCAAAGACTGAAACACCCACGGCAGCTTGCCTGGTGTGGTATTAAAATACTTGGCAATCTCACTGTAGACCGCTGGCAAGGCCATGTTGTCCTGGCAATCTCACTGTCCACACATAGTCTTCCACGCATGACACTTTTGGGGGGATCGAGGATGTTGAAGACCTTCTGAACATCCATGTTTTTTTCCTCCAGGCGATAACCCACAACTGACAACATCGAGGCAAAATGAATAAAATGGATTCATCCGACCTTCGGACTTATAGGACTTCTAAGATTCCAGAAGATGGATGTCTCTTGATATCTCCATGTTTATCATTCCGTTCTATCATTTATCAATTTTTATCCCTAGCATGTTTGGGCCGAGGCTCAGTGTTCCACATCACCATCACCAGAAACAAGACCATCATCTGAAGAGCCCAGGAATTCCAGCTCTCTTTTCTTGATCCATCCCTCCCCTTCGATTCATCCGAATGCATCCTTGGATGTACAGGCAGCTGAGACCGTCTCTGGGCAAAGACCAGGACGACTCCCGGTTGCGCAAATCTAATAGACTCTCGTTTGCACCTGTCACGGTGAATTTTCTACACTGACATACACTGACGGTCTATTTGGGAGTCACTAGGAACGTTGGAGCATCACCCATCATTTGAAGCCTGTTCTTCTTTCCCAGGTTAGGGCGACTTCTTTCTGGCTAGGAGGAAGAATTGGTGATCCTCACCGAAACCAGGTTCGCCAATCAGGTCACCGATGAGTGCACAGGAGCCTCTGCACCAAAACCTTTGGCATCACCCAAAAAGCAAGAACATGGTGCCGGCCAATACCCAGCTGGCTGGGGCTGCTGCCATGAGCTGCACCCTCTGAAGCAAAAACAAACATCCCATCCATCTCTACGTAGCGGGGCTGGCCGTCACCATGCGTCACCCATGCGTCACCCAGCTTCACTCCGTCTCGAACAAGAGTCTCGGAGCTTGAAGTCTCATTCTCGCTGCTGCTACTGCTTTTGAGGTCCACGGCTGCCATTGCTGTGGGCCAGTGTGCGCGAAAACGGTCGAGAGGCACGGATCGTGAGCTGGAGGCCGAAATGGCGGGCGAGCGATGTTGGAGTCAAAATGTTTGGTGGTGAGCGAACGGGGGATGGAGAGGGAATACAGGTAGAAAATGAGAGGAAACCATGGAAATACCTTGAAGTCTCATGACTTCAAGTTGGGATGGCTTGCACTTTCGCAGACCTGCCTACACCTTCACCAGGTCGGCCCTCCCAGTCAGTTTCTTGGGGGGACAGGCGAAGTCCCAAGCCCTTCAGGCCATCTCAGGCCCTTCAGGTGGGTCACCAGGTTAAAACGCAGCAGCTATGAGAAGAAGAAGAAGAAGAAGATGATGATGATGATGATGAAGATGAAGATCCCTTTTGCACTGCAAAGGCGACTCAGGTCGCCCCCCCCAGTGACCTCTGAACCACCAAGCTGGGGTCTGGCATGGCATGCGGCAGGCGGCCTAGGCAGGCCTCTTTTTGGGGGGGCGGTTGATGTTGGTGCCGATCCGGAGCAAGCTCTCAAATCCGGAGCCAGCTGTGGAGGTGTATTGCCAGGGTGGGGTCGCCAGGATCCACCGGTCTGTCAGACGGACCAGCTGACCAATGCCAGGACCGCCAAAAATTTGGACCAATGGATCAGCCGCTTGGAGCTGTTCCTGGGACGAAACAGCATGAGATTCTGATGGATTCGCTGCATGGATTCGGCCCAACTTGAAATTTGCTGAGAAAGAAGGGATCCCACCTCGCCAGTTTCGTCGATGGGTGCAAGATGGTGCAAGTTCCCCTAACAGGTCAGCTTGCTGCAAAACTAGTGTCCTGGTGTCCTCAGTGTTTTCTGTGACGGGAATCCATATGGATGAAACAACCTGCTGGTCTGGTCTGGTGAGTATAGATGTCATAGATTAATACATCTATACACAACATCTCGAGAGTCAACCTCGATGAAGAACCCATCTTCTGTGACACGTTTGTGATCTTCAAAATAAACTTGGCCAGTTTTCAGCGGTCAGCAGTTGTGTTGTGACTGGCCTTGCCTGGAAAAATGGTCCCTGGTCTTCTGTGGTGTGCTCAAATAACCCTCACTGAACACAGCAAATGTCTAAACTCCAGCTGAGGGACCAGGACTGTCCCCCTTAAACATGAAAAACCCACCTGGGATCGGGCCAGGCCGAAAATGCTGCTTCATGGAGCGGCTTCCTATCAATGCTGCGACGAAATGCTGCAACACTTGGAAAAGGTGGTAATTCCTCCCCACCAGGAACACCTGCCCAGTTTGGACCCTCTTTCAGGAACATCTCTCTCGGGTGTTGCTAAGTTTGATCATCATAGTCGCTTATACCAACACAAATTTTGCCGTCGCGTGGAAGCTCACCCATGCGACCCGTTCACCCTGTGTATTGGCCGGCCGTGCGGTGTGGAAGCTCCTCGAAAGGGGCGACGAACCGCACCGCACCGCACCGCAGCGATGCCCACACTTTGGAGGCACGAGCGAGCGAGGTCTGTGTGGCCAGGAGGAGGTTGGTTGGCTTCGTGTTGGGCAGCTCTTTTTTGAGAAATGGGCAGGGCAGGGCCGGCAGGGCTGACAGGGCCCAAGCAAGGCTTATATTTTTTCATCTGCGTGGGCAATCGATGGGTCAGGAGTTACATCAAATTCGCCCGCACCGTTGGAGGATCAAAAACACAACTCATGAAGTCGACGTTCTCAGGTTCAAGGCCCTCTTTTGAGGGACGTGGATCGAACCAATCGAACCGTCAACACTTGCCTTTGTTTGGCGATTGTTTGTTTGACCCTTCTGAAATGCTCCTTCAACTTGTAACTTCCTCGGGGCCACTCAGCGCACCCGCGGGTGTTTGGTTCACCCATGTTCACCCAACATTCAGAGCTTCGTGAAAGGCTGGAGCGCCCCAGCGGTCTGCGCGGCTCATGCAAAACCTGCACGAAAAGTTTTGGGGTTCAGGGGCTGGCGGCGATGCTGATCGTTGTCTGTGGGACGTATTCTGAAAAACATTGAGATGCTTACGGCACAAGCGTTGGGTGGGTTTTGGCAATTGGTTCCTAAGAAGTGCAAAAGTGCCTGAACATCCTGGGTGATTATCAGTACCAGTCCATAGATCCATTGTTCCAATTGCACTTGAAAGCCGACAAAGGGCTTGGGAACATGGATCTATGAAAACACATGTTTACTGTAGATTCTTACAGTAATCTACTGAAACATATGCGGCACTTTCCAATTGTTGCTCTCCTAGCTGATTGGTTTGGTGGAACTTTCCCTCACTGGCCCGCTCACCCAGCCTTGCTTCCCCTGCTTACAACTTGCCAAGCTCCGTGGCCCGTTCCTGGCCGCAAGCAGTCGTCAGACCAGACTTGCGTGTGATATGTTTGTCCGCATCTCCTGCATGTACAGAGTCTACAGAGTCTTTGCAAGCTCTGCAAGCACAATTAAGCAGAGATATTTGGGTGGCTGTTTATGACAGCCATCCCAACAAGTGTCTGCTTGGGTTCTGGGAAACGATAACAATAGTTGAAAACTCGCCTACATAGCGCTTCTGCCTTTTCACCTTCCTTCAACTCGATCCGCATGTTCAGACAAAACATGGATAACATATGGAAGACTTCCTGCCACTTAGATCTCCAAAGCCAATAACCCTCCCACCATGTGCACGTCTTCAGCCTCATTTGGTGTAACTTCCAAACCAAAGGAAGGAGCCACACCCGTCGCGCCCGTCGCGCCCGTGGCGCCCGTCGCGCCCGTGACGTGGAGTCGGACCGAACCCGTCGTCCTTGGCGGCGGTGACCGCGCTGATGATGCTGTGCCGGAAGCCGGTGCTCTCCAGGGTGCTGGTGCCTGGTGTGCAGGGAGAGAAGAATCAGGATGATCAGTCAGAGTCCAATTGGAGCCAGGATGGGATTCAATTGGAGCCAGGATGGGTTCACAAATAATTCAGAAATCAGAAGAAACCAGTGGCTTATGCTTTTTGCAATGATGCATGATTGTTATGTGAGCATGAAGAAATGAGAACTTCGCCTCCGCCGCCACCCCAGGAGGTTGGCGTCAGCAAAGCACAAGATAAACCAAATGAGGTTTTGCGGAAACCATCATGGCCCACTGAGGGACAAATGACCCTCCCCATCCCCCCAAAAAAACATCACCAACATCCACATCCCTCACCAGCTTTTCTGGAGATCCATCCACTCACAGAGCTCCTCTTGCACCTCCTTTCCAAAACCCACCCACCCGAACCTTCCCTTCGCAGGGCTCCCGAACCCTCGGGCACCCATCGCACCATCCGCCCGCACCTGCGATGGTGGTGCCCCCCCGGCGACTCCACGGCGTTCCGCAGCTGAGCCGGGTGCCTCGGAAGAGGCCGGAGCGGCCGTGGGCAGCGGAGCGGGCGGGAGAGGTGGCCCCAACTTGGGCCGGCGCCGGACCGAACCAAAAGGACGACACTTGCAGAAGTGGGATCCAACCCATCTGTATGTCATATAACTCCTTCAGTAGTGCTACAGTATTTCATAGGAATTATCTATTTCACATTGTATTTCGCTTTATTCTTCGATTTCATCCGATTTCTATTGATGGAGCAGCGCCACATGTACATCATTGTACATCCAAACTCTACACCCCTTCGGCCTTTTTCAGCCCAGGCCACTTGTCGCCCTGCAGCGTCATCTTGGCGGCGCCGAAGACGGTCTGCGCCGCCAGGCGCAGTGCCACGTCCCGCGGCAGGCCGTTCTTCACCTCTGCCGGTGATGATTTGCAGGGCACATCATCACCGTTTCGGAGCAAATTCCAAATCCAAGACCTATCGGAGACAGGTGAACAACGTGTCTGTCTGGGCCAGATTTGGAGATCAGCAACTCCGGCTATGCCGACAAGAGGAACCGCCTGTCCTTTCGAGTAGTATAGCTGACAGGTGACATGGATAGAAGATGCCACAAGATCCTTTCGTGGCGTCTCCCTGTCTCATGGGGGTCCTCATACGTATCAAGTTTGCCCTCCCTGCCGTCTCCCTGTCTCTGAGTCTACGAACGCCACCATCCGCCATCGATTCAATCATCATGTACCTCAAAAGCCAATCAGGATGACAGGCAAATGGATCCAAATAGGGAACACCTTTGGATGCATGACGACCTCATGCCCACTTGCTGTATCTTCGTTGATTCCGTATGTGAAGACACACTCGCGACATGAGCAAGTATATAGCTGCCTCTGCTGGAAAAAAAAAGAACATCCTGAATCCAAATCTCACCACCTCTCTGCATTGGTCCAACGATGCTTGAATGTTTTGCAGAAAGCTACTGGAACAATGAGAAACAAAACAAGCCAATTTTTTCGAGCTGACAGAAAGCCGCTGAGACTGACACTGAAAATGCCAAATTCCAGTACCAAGCGGCACATAGGCAGGTCCACTGCCACTCAGCCCCGTGACCGCATCCAGGAGTTTCTCGTCCGCCACCTTCTCAGCCAAACCCACCGCCGACATCACCTCGGCCGGTGTCTGCTGATGACGTCGGTGAACTCTTGATGGAAAAACAATCAAAAAAACAACAAATGCAACAAATAAGCATCTTCTATCAAGGTGCTCAGCCATTTGAACCCCGTGTTTGTCAATATTCATCCTGCAACCAATGAAATTGACCAACCCATCTCCACACCCCACACAACGTGACCGCACGGCCGTTTGCACGACCGGCTTCCCCACCCGCTCCACGGTCGCTGCGTCGTTCTGGCGGGCTCCAGGGCCTAGCACCTCGGTCGCTCGCTCGACGGTGGAAGTTACCCGAGGATCAAAGAGATGATGATTCAAGATCTCATATAGCAACAATAACTTTTTCTAGAGGGACAAAGAAGAAAACACATGTTTTGTGATATATATATATATCTTCATATACTGGTGTCGTTTGAGGAAGAGTCAGTTGGAGCTATTCACGTTTTAATACTGACTGTTCACGGGTATACTATATATAAGTACCACTCTGGTACTGTCTACTGACTACGCTGAGAATTGAATGTACATGGAGCACGCCATTTTTTTTTGCAACACTTCTCCATTCCTTGTGCAAACACAGTTGAAGGGTCATGAAGGAAATGGGGATTGTCAGATCGGCCTACAGCCTCCTCAGCTCTGTCATTGACCTTTTGCCGGTCTTTCCGTCAATCAACTTCTGGGCGTGTGTTCCAACCTTCTTGGACATGTCCTGAACACAAAGAATATCAAAGAATCCATATCCTTCGAAGCAAATCCCCACCCCTAAAACCTTTTGTTTCAAGATCCTGATCCACCATTCTCTTCGTCCCGGCTCCATCCGGCTCCATTGTCTATCCACCCGTCGTCTCCTTTGCCCAGTTGCATAGGCTGAAGCCCCAAGACCCACCAGCGCCGGCGTGTTGGGCATCGTCCGAGCCTCGGAGAAGAACCGCCACGGCCGTGCTCGTGGAAATGCCGCGGACAAGTTCCGCGGTGGAAAAAACATGCAAAATGTCTGGGGATGAAAATCGCAGCCCAGCGGCCACCCGTTTTACACCCATGCTCTCCAGCTTTGCAATGGGCACCTGGGTGGTCGAGCTGGTCGTGCGAAACGAGTCGGGTCGGCTAAGTTCACCAGCCGTGCCCCTAGGGCAACACCCCTGGGAACGCCCAAAGAGCAGACCGGGCCCTGAACAGGCAGATGGCAACTACCGTAATTGTGGAATGCCACCAGTTACTTTGCCAGAACATCGTGCTTCAAGACGTCCAACAGTTTGTGACTAAGCTGCTTGAGCCTTGCCCAACCCATCCCAGACCCAGGCCGGACTAAACATCCGAGCAAGCGTTGGTCACATGATACTAGCAACGAGCAGCCAAAACGTGACAGTCACATCATCGGTATGGCACGGCTTCAAATAAGAAGAGTCAAATCATTCGCAGGGGATCACATCAGGGATCATCAGGGGAAACAACCCCAAGCTGGGCACCAATCATTTTTTTTGTTGACTAGGTTGGCTTGGTCCCTCTAGCCCCGGGTGTCCTAATCAAATCGCCAGCTGGTCCTAGCTCTACTGCTTAGTCACTCGCTTTCACAACACTTTCACAACCCGACACGTGTCCAGAAGGGTCTCTGGAGCCAATGCTTTGCAAGCACAATTGTATTCGAACATCTTTTGCTATCTTCCTGAACCTCACGATTCGCCTCTGGCGGCTCTGGAGGTTCTGGGCAGCTCTAGAGGTTCTTTATTGAAGGAAATTGGGTGCTTCTGCGGGTTCGACAGGACTTGTTTCTGGGTTAGAAAGGTGTGTTGTTGGGTTGGGAAGAAGAAGGTTCGAGGATTGAAACAATTGTACTTGCGTGGGACTTGAAAAAGGGTCGGTCCCTATCCATGTTTGTTTTTAATAACCCATATAGGTCGTGTTTATAGGATACTGCAGTTCGCACTGGTAGCGAAGCTAACAACTCAACTGCCAACCCAACTCAATGCAAACCTGCACAGGAAAAAGGGGTGACGTGTCACAACCAATGCGAACGTGTTCAAGCCGACACGACAGCTCGATCTCGAGACCGATCAACAGTCTTTCACTCCATTGCGGTGCCGCAGTCGAACATGGCAAAAGGGGCCCCTGGTGTTGGGCCGAGAGGTTCAGACGACACATGTCAAGAACTCACATGGACAGGTAGTGGCTCATGAGGTGAATCGCATCAACCCCAAAACTTTCTGAGTTCTTGACCTGTGACATCTGCTGTACTGGTGTGCCCTTAGATTTCTTGATCTTCCGGGCGCTCTCTATGAACTGTGGTTCGAAACGAAGCTGCCACAGGCGGTGCTTTAAATAGAAGAGCATGCTATCACGACTCTCTGGCTTCTTTTTGGTGAGGGAATCACTCAAGTTCCAATCACCAGCCAGCCACAACAAGTGAGTGCCACAAAGTCGAAGAGCTTGTTTCAACTGGTGGGCTTGTATTGCGGCTCTGGTGTTTGACAAACCAAGAAGCGGTGACTCATTTACCATCACACTGTCCCAACCTCCTTTCGAGTCGGTTCCCAGCACGCCAACCACGTGTTGCACCTCCTGGTCGGTGGCTTCCAGCAAATTTCGACCACCATAGAGGAGTGAGGTGCCGTGCATACCTGCCCAAAGAAGACGGGTCCGGTACACGACATCCTCTGTTTCAACAAGAGCCTGCATTTCAGCATCGTTGGTTCCAATAGCAACTCGCTTCAACTTCCAACTGCGCCAAGCCACAAGAACAAGAGGACATGGAACACCTTTGAGAGCATCCTGGTTGCTCAAAAACACAAGCATGCCTCCTGTCGACCCTCCTTTGGGTCTGTTATTGTGTGCTTGATCTCCAAGGCCAACCACGCACAACTGAGTCCAGTGATTGACTCCTGGCAGTTTGAAGAACTTGAGAGTGGAATTGGACTTCCTGAGCTCTCGCACCATCTCTTGCAGCTCTTGCGCAATGGACATCCGGGGTGAAGTCGACAACTCAGTCAACAACAAGTTCACTCTTGCACAAATGAGCGGCTGACTTTGCACTGCAAGCCATTGCAAAGCTCCCAAGGCTCCACGACAAGCGGTGATCTCTTTTGCAGTCATCAACTCATCACTCATAGAGAACCGCTTGGGGTCAATGGAGACATCTTGCAATGTTTCAACATAATACTGTTGCGACACGACCAAGCAACGACCATGCTTTGCATCCTGAACCATTTCCAGATCAGTTCCAGCATGTCTGTAGCTGTTCTGTTTGGCAGTGCCCCAACGGTAAATCTGATCCACCTCCTTTTTGATTCTCAACCAGCGCTCATCAGTCACATCGCCAGCTCGATGAAAATCATCGACATGACCAGCTACAAAACCGAGAGGCCGAAAACGAAAGTGAGGGGGATCTTTCTGAGGATCGAAACGTTCATTGTCCACCAGCCACAACCAAAAGCATGAATCGCCTCGGAGAGTGATGGCACCAAGCTTCTTCATGGACTGGTCCACGTTCTGCCACAAATTCCGTGGCGCTGTCGTGGACCCGTAGAAATTCTTCAGGATACGCATCACTCCATTCTCAGGAATGCCGAGGGCCTCACGAAGCTCGGAAACTCCGGTGGTCCACAATTGTTTCTCTTCTTCTGTTGGCAAAGTTTGCAAGAAGGCTGTGCTCATGTCAATGCCTTCGATGTCCCAACCTTCTTCCATCACAAGCTGATACGAGATATTTCTCGAAAGGAGAGCTTGAACTGGAGATGAGGTCTTGTGACCGTCTGACAACAAATCAGGATGTTCGAAACCAAGTAGGACTATTCTGGCCTTAGCTTTCTTCAGGCCATCTTCAGTCAAAGTGGTGGTGTCCGGCTTGGTTCGAACTTCCTCAAGTGCTTCAGCGAGGCCTTCCTCTGGTGTTGGCTTCCAGGTGAGCACCCAACGACAACGCATGATTCGACCTGAGTTCCAAGCCAACATCTCCTCTTGTTTGTCCAAGCAACGACGGACTGCAGCATTTGTCAAGAAGCTGTTGACCTCCTTGGTCTTTGCCCGACGAAACAACTCACGATGTGCAGGCTTCAAAGAAACAAGACGAACCTCACAATCTCGCATCTTCTGAGCCAGAAACAAGGAGGGACGACGGACAAAGCGCTCTTTCTCCCGATTCGAATGAAACTCCCACTCGATGGTCATGAGGATGCCTTCATCGATCAACTCCAAAGTATTAAAAAACTGCTCATCAGCATCATCGATTCTTGCTTTCTTGGAGTCTGGTTCACGTGGAGGAGCATCGCTCTTGCCACCCGAGTCAGAAGAAATCGAAAGAAGAGGCTGTTGTCCTGAAAGTGGTGCTGTGCGTTCCGTCAAGGTCGGAATGCCACTGCCCAAGGCTGTGCCAGTGATCTCGTCCTCATCTCCACCAGTCTGAAAAGTGGGCTCATCACCATAGTCATTCAACGGAAGAGGAGCTTCTGCTGGTGGAAGAGCTTCAGCTGGTGGTTCGGAAGGAGTATATTCCTCAAGGCCGCGGAGAGGAGAGAACGGCTCTGGTGGGCGGAGATCCTTGAACACCGTAGACTTGTCCGGAGCAGCTGGCAAGCGAGGAAATTCTTCTTCATTCTCATCCGGCTCTTCAGGCAACAAATCAATGAAGGAACGTTTGGGCACCATATCAGACAAGGACTTCCACTGTGAAGGATCTTCTGGATGGTGGAGCTCATAGTCAAGTCTTTCCCGTTCTGTCACCTTTCTCACACTATGGACGGAGCAACGATGCATGGTTCCAGCAACAATGACCCATACAATGTGGCGACGTTCATCACCAGGCCGCTGACCATGAATCACTTCATGAAAAACAACACGGCCTGGTCCCAGCCACTGAGCATGACCAAGTTTCCGCAGACCTCCTCGTCCACCACCATCAGTGGAATATTTGCGCCAAATCTTCACCAGGTCCATGGGTTCAAAGACTTGCAAGGGCTGTCTAGCCTTGGAGTTGTGAAGCTTGTTGAGAACGACCTGGGCTCGTGCCTTTCTCGCAAGCTCCTCAGCCACATGCCTATTTGACAACAAGGTCACGAAGTCTGGGCCTTCAACCTCAGGCATGGCCAATTGCATTGAGCGCTCATCCTCCTCGGTGAAGGTGAACTGCTTTCCATAGACCCACTGATGAGGCGCGTAGCCTTGATTCACCTCAGTGGAGTTCAAGGCATTCACTGAGATAGCCACGATAGACGGTGGTGAGCACGAAGGGAAGGACAAGGACACCTTCGAAGCCACATTCTCGACTTCCTGGACACAGCGCTCCATGAGGCCATGACTCCAACTCTCCTTCACCGGTGGTGTCTCGATCTGAATGTTGAGGTCTGAGAGAGTGGAGCGAGCCATAGCACTGATCATTGACTTGGCATTGTCTGGAACTAGCACTTTCATCTTTGGCTTGTCACTCAGCCAAAGCTTGAAGAGACCGTCAAGGATCTCATCGGTGTTCTCGGATTCTTGCTTGTACAGGTCAGTGGTCCGCAAGATAGTGGCAGCCTTGAAGTGAGTCCATGAGCACCAGCAGTTTGTACTTCTGCCGGCTATTGGGAGGTGTCCATTCAGTGACATCCATGCCAACAACTTCCCAGGCAGCAGGCATAGGTCGCAAGGACGCAGGAGGGATCTTGCCACTTGAAATGCCGCCCATTTTGAGAGACCGGCAATCATCACATTGAAGTTGAAAGGCAGCATCCACCTTCCAACGAGGCTGACCAGCTTCACGAAGGATGCGGGCCAAATTGTAGTTATTAGGGTGACCTGCAGCACGATGGTAGCGGAGAAGTTGGAGATTCCAACGTTTGCGCTCTTCTTCATTGGGCTCATCTTCAATCTCTTGGGGCATGATCTCAAGCTCAAGCAAATCCAGCTGTTCATCCATGGTGAGGTGTTGAGCAACTGGTGCATGAAGACGGTCCAGCCATTTCTCCGGATAGAGCTCAGCACGCCAAGTCTGTGCAATGGACTTGCACATCTTCCAAGGATAGTAGGCACTACGGTTGGTCTCAACTCCTTGGATGTAGTCGTGCTCGTGAGCACCAGTGCAAGTCTTGTTCTT